TGCACACCTCCACCTGATAGAATATTGAATAGATCTTTCTTGTTTTTCTCCTTCTTTGAATTAGCTTCGCTTTAATAAATTGAAAAATAACAGAGTATTTGTAAATGGACGCGTGTGCGTGCCCGATCGATCAGGGCTCGTCCTTGTAGATGATATTCGTCCTGAAAGTCCCGTCTGATGTTCTACTTGTGTGACATGCGATTCACCTGTTAGCAACTCCCATGTGACTGTAATGCGCGCACCCCCTAAACAGATTTTAATGCATTGAAACAATGACTCGAACGTTATAAAGAAAGATAAAGGGAATTGATAATAACGGGGAGAAGTCAATCCAATCGGTGGTGATAATGAACGGAAACAGCCTAAAGTTGATGGACAGTTCAACACTGCTTCGAAATCGACAGACCGTTCGCGTTGGTATAATAAGAGGCATTCAGGTCAGACCCGTTTTTCCTGCTGCTCCTCTTCTATCAATTTACTGCTCGCCATTAATTAATGAAATTGTTCTAATTGACTCATTAACGGCCCCGCACATTAAATAATAAATTCTACAAATTGATTTCATCCATTTATAGACGCCGGCGACGCTTTTCCTAATTGCCGACAGGAAGAAATACATAACTAAATAGTGAGCAAAGCGGACCAATTACGATTCACCACCTAGTTTTTCCACGACATCATCAGTTTCGCGACCTTTCCTAGTTTTACAGTTACTATTGACATAAATATCAATTATTGGTAATGCAAGGATCGAAGGTGTTAGTAGCGTAGATGCGTACATGTATAGATGTGTGTCGTATATATGTATATAGAATTTGTGTGCGGCGCCGTGTGTTTTGGTTGTGGGATATTAGTGTTCGGAGCACGGGAGGCTAATAAGTAAATGATGTATGATTCTGTGGACTGTAAATTACTGGCATATCAATACGCCACTGTTTAATTATGATATAGCGCCTATCTCAGTGCAGATATATTTATACTCATTTGCATGCCCAGGAATCACTCGCCACTTTACATAATGTCCATAAATAATAAACACACACATACACACACACGCGCGCGCGTTTTGCTCTCTCTCACTCTTTCTATCTATTCCTCCGTCTCTCTCCCACCCCTCTTTGCAATGCGAGTGTGCTTGCATTAATTACTGCCGCAATAAATAAACGTTAATTTATTATTTATTAATATCGTATCATTAAAACCGTTTTACACATTTATTTATATACACAAATGATGATGATAATAATAATAATAGTCATTGATTTTTAATATTTCCCTACATGAACGAAACGGAATTTTCAACATTCCATTACAATATTTAATAATTAAATGCATTCTCATGGTTACTCAATTATACTGTAATAGAAATGTTATTAGACTTCGAGTTTATTAATAGTAAATAATTTTAGATGCTTTAACAATCAATTCGAATGATTTCATCAATCTGTTAAGTGAAGAGAATTTTATATGAAATATATTTACTTAAAGTTTATTTAAAGCATTACTAGATAAGTGACTTTGCATAGTTAATTTGAGGTTGAATAACAAGATTAGCACGTCTTTACGCTAATAATTGTTTCTAATCCGAGCGTTGCGTCAATTCAACTTGAATATGTTTTTATTCTCCTTTCAATTCTAGAACTTTATTTCAATTTAAATTTAACGTAACTAGATAATCAATGCATTCGAATGTAAATTTGTAGTATGAACTTGATGAATTTTCATTATTTTGGGTAGTTCAAAATTAATAGATTTGAAATTTAAATGGCGATAAAAGTGATATCAAAATGATTGTCTGAATTTTTACTGATTTTTCTTGTACATGACTTTCATGAATTACGTTGATTTTTTTGTCAAATATTAGTAAAATACTATTATATGTACCTTGTTTCATCATCAATCTGTTAAGCAAGATTGAAGTTACGTTACATTGGATGTACTTCTAAATTGTCCAATTTCAGTCCATTCGGTTTGGAGCGTGCAATTCTTTTAGGTTGTTGCTCATGTGCTGGGTGAGGTTTTAATAATTTGACGGGGTTGCAAATTGAATTCCCGGAGACGGTTTTGGGTGGATGTATGTGTGTGTATTTTGTATGTGCAGGGGGATGCGATCACGTAATCTATTTGCGGGCTGGGAAACTGACGTGCGCGGAACCCTAAACGGGGCTTAGACGAATACGACGTCGTGTGTGTACGTTTCAGCGGGGGTGGCGACAAAAAAAAGTAGATTAATAACCGCCCCCGGATAACGGCTAATCTCTTCTGTTGCGCGCCCAATCACCTGAACCTCGGTGGCAGGATGGATCATATCCGGAATACCAAATAGCAAACAATTCCTGCAATTATGGAAGGAAAGCGATGCGAGGAGTGGCAAGAAAGGATGCGGGAGAGCTAATTTTGGGGTCCACTTTTATTGTTTGTTGTAAAATGCAAATACACGAGACGAAGTGTAGTTTTTAGCGCGGTTTTAATTACACAGGCGTTAAGTGAACACGGTCTGCAGTGGCAACAAATGCGCGTGAAATCCGAACGGCGGCGTGACTGTGACTGACGGGACCCGGGCTGTGCGGTCACGGGGGCACACACCACCAACAAACACAACACCAATAACACCTACAACAACAACAACAAAAGCCGAAACCTTCCTTCTTCCTTCCTACCTTTGGAAGTACTACTACCGCTCCACGCACACGGCAATGTGCCATTTTCTCCGGCTTCACCGATAGCTGTTTACATCTTAAATCATTCTTCTGTTCGCGGTAGGTCCATGCCGCACACCTTCTGCCTGGTCTTCGCGTTGCTTTCTTCCATATCTCTCTCACTCTCTCTCAAAAACATAACATTTCATTTTCTGAACAACAACAAAAAAAAACAGGTGAATTTGAATGGCGACGGAGAGAAGAAAAGGACAAAACGCGTTTGAGCTGAGAAGGATGTTTGGTTAAGGATAACGGCTATTAGATTGTTCATTAGTTCATTACATTTTAATCGTTCGGAAAACAATGCCAATGCGCGCCTCCTTCGCCTTTGCGTGCCCCGTAATTACGCCATGACAAATTGACGGGGGAACGAATTACCGAGACCTACAAAAATTGTTCCTGCCCGTAATTCCACCTCAATTATTCATCTTTTCTTTTTTCGTATCGTTTTGTTTTCCTTGCGTCCATACACATCACACCAAATGCACCGCATAAACTAAATCCTTTCCAAAAGCAACTTACCTACTACACACACAATCAGCCTGCTTGTTCACTTTTCAATTCAGTTTATCGAATCGCTGAAAACATTCACTGCACTTTTTTGTTTGTTTATTTTTAAATGCAATTGTTGAACGCTTCTGTAAAACCGAATATTGCAATTAGAATAAAATATTCAGAAAATAACAACATTCTGTATATAATATTTCCAATTATAATTATGATAATGTTCCAACTCAAGTTCCAATATTCGCGACTACTTATTATTTAATTTTACCGATTATGTTTTATGAACTGATGAAAACATAATAAGTGCAACTGTAAAACACTCGAACTCGAAATATCTGTATCAATTTATGCAATAAATCAACATTTTGAAATTGATTGCTGTAATAAATAAATGTAGATTTAACGACTTTCTGAAAACATTTCATTTGAATTTCATCTATATATATAAACTTAAATAATAAGTCATTTCAAATATTAATAAGTTTTTTCACAATATTTTATAATTTGATTATAATCAAATTATAAAATATATCGTTAGAAATATCAAAGCGCTAAATTTCCCGATTTAACAATTTGTTTTTCTTAGCGTTGAAAGATATATTGAAATCGTAGACTCTGATTATAACTGATTGTTTTCTACAATTTTACATTTATTTGTATATAAATTTATGTAATTGGATGTACCTCAAATAATATATCTATAATCAATATTTTGAAAATGCGCTCACAATAATAATTATCTCAACTGTTTTGTTTCTATTCAAATTTAAAACGCGGTATCAGCTGATGGAATACACGAGTGCTTACTATTAATTATTAATAGTGCGAGGCACGGTTTGTTAATACAAGAAATTGGGTCGATAAACATTTCGTTCATTATTACTTGTTCTTTCTGCTCACTTATTTTTTCTGTTCGCTTGCACTCTCCACGCTTCTCATTTCTTTTCAGCTCTCGTTCCCTTGCCCGAATCAATTTATAAGCCACGAATGAAGCGCTCTCTTTCTCTTTTCCTCCCTCGCGCTCCTAGTGTATTATAAATATATAAGAAAGGCTAAATATACATCGACACGCAAACCCGAACGCCACGATATAATTTCAGAGGAAGAAATAATAATAATACAAGGAACAAATAAAAAAAAATGTAACAATACGGCAGAAAACTGGAGAAAAAATAAGGGCGCGAGCAGTCTATTTTCAGCCCGTGAACGGAAATTATCTTAATTTGATTTCAGTAAAAAAAGTTTTAAGTGAATTTTAAAATATTTCAATTATTTTAATTTCAGTGATGAAACAATTGGCTAGAAGTCTGCTTAGAATTGGCGTGACTTATGCGTTTTTATGTATAATATAGTTTATAAAATAACATAATTTTTATAAAATGTTGTATGTAATGAGGATTGTTGTCCGTACTTGAAATCATATGATTTTTGTATCTTAGTGTATACAAATAAATTTAAGAGTACGTTATTTGAACGTAGAAGGTCTTGATTGAAGTTGACTCGAATAAAAACGTATGTATTGAAAAGCAGCAATAAAGAAACTGTTTGTTTTCTTTTTTCCAAGAAAATAGCAACGTTTATTTTTCAATAAATTAACTTAAAAAAAAAAACAAAGTAATCGATAAAGAAGAACCTAATTATAGTGTCGTATACAGAGTGTATTTTGATTAAATTTCATTGCCTACCTTCTAGGTGACATAGATTGGGGGGGATTTAGGAATCACTAACTAAAGTTCACTATCTAGTATTGTTGAAGGGGCATCATCATCATCCGGGTTGCGTTAAACCACTTACCGATGGCATCTGAAACAGAAAGAAGAGATAAAGTTAAATTAGATGGCAGTTCTTGCTCTCCTCTCCTCTCGTTTCGTCTTGTCTCGTGTTCCGTTCACGTTTCATGACGTTTCCCCGTTCGCTTTTCGCGAAACGGAGCTTGCTTTACGCGGTATTTATTTATTTACTTATTTACGAGTGAGAAATGTAAGTGCGGGTGCGACTCTTCTTCTCCCTATTACGCGATGAGCCAGACACGCACCATCCTCTTAATAGCCGCCACTCCCACTTTTGGCACGACGCGAACTCATTTATTTTTTGCCTCCTGCGAAAAGGACGAAAGCCAGGCCACTCGTTTCCCATCCATTCCTTCACTACTCCAACGCGGCCATGCATCTTCCATCATCCTCTCTTATTATTTTAACTGTTAAGGGCTGTTCAGTTTAATTAAGTTTCGTAATTAGTTCTGCGCGACTGTTTGTGCAAGTGTATGAGTGTGTTCTGTTGTCGTGTATTTGGTCCAAGGCGAGGCGGATTGCTACGTTCGCCGCGCCCCAGGTGATACACACACACACACATTCTCTCAGAGACGAGCGTTCGTACACATGCACACATACAAGACAAAGTCGCGCACATGCACACACGGTAATCCGAGCAACAACTCCGCAAGAGCACAACAGATTTTTATCATGTCGAAGAATGGAATGCATCAACGTATTATTATTATTTAGATCAAACGGCCTTTGTCTGCCCCACCGGTAAAACAATGAGACCCAAGAGAGAAGTGGAATCAGAATCATCACAGATTGCAATTGCAAGTATAAATACGGACGCAATGATCTTATCACCTAAACTAATTACATTTGCCGATCAACTCAATTCCCGAATTCGTCTTAAGCACCGCGATGCGTATTTGAAGTGAGATCATCCTCAACGCGTAATTCTTTTATGATGCAATCCCCAGGTTCAATCGCAGTCAAAGATTCCTCTTCTATTGTTATTTACTCGCGCAAGGGTGTCGAAACTGTATGTTAATAAAATTGATGGCGTATCGGTCGGCCGAAGGGATAGTTGAATGGTATGTAAAAGTCTTAATTCAGGAGGGTATAGAGGATACAAGTGGTCCAGACGGTATCGTTCTCGGAGCCCTAAAGTTTATAGGCGGCCGGAACGTGCGAATAAAATGGGGGATGGCGGTTAAAGGTGGGGAAAGACAATCGCAGAAGGATTTGAAGGTCTGATGCTGTTATTAATCTTTGGGGTGTTGGCGTGCCGTCGAGGTGTGATGCAGTTAGACGGGGCGGACCCCGGGGTGTTATGGGCCACGGACATGCACGGGAACTCCGCCACCTGCAACGGCCAGCAATTGATGATGGATCGCACCTTAGCACTTTATTATTTAATAAGGGGGCGGCGAGTAATTGGTTTCTTCCTTTTTATCCCCCCGGTCTTTTATAACCAACAACCACCACCCAATCTAACCGTCCACCCAAAAACAGTGAAAACAAAACAAAAAGCATGCAGAAGAAGAGAGGATGGAACCCAAGCTTTTGCATACCATTTTGGTAGAGCAAGATACGTTGTTGTTGCTTTTTGTTTTGTATCTGTTTCGTTCCGGCTGATTCGTATGCCGTTTCTTATTTTTTTCTCCTTTTCCTCTCAGATGGCTACGGCGGCCGCATTTGGTAGGCGGATTAGAGGAGTCCACCCAAAACGGGGTTCGATCATTTAAATATAGCGGTGCGGAGATCTGCAGATAGACATGTCGGGATGGAGAGAACCGACTGAGTAGGAGCGAGAGAGGACGAGTCGCCGGCCGATGGAATGTCGGCTTCGGCTACGACCAGTTTTAGCACAAACAGAAAAATTGGATTCCAACACACTGCACTCTGCCGCATCCACACACTCTCAAATCAAACAACAACAACAACAGCAGCAGAAGCAGCAACAACATCGAAGGCGAAATAACCAAAATTCATTCTTCCCCATTAGATGTCATGCAAAATTTGCACGTTATTCCGGAACATTTGCATCTCCCGAAGACGCCGTAATCTTAATTTGATGGAAGCAGACACATCAACTGCTCCCTTTCATGCGGAAAATTTCCTTTAATTAAGGAGGAGTCGGTGGTGTCTGTCTTTATGCGCGCCGACACCTCGAAACCGATAAGGATAAGGAAACGACGCCCTCCGACTGAAACCGCTCGCATCGCTTCCTCCTTAGAGAAGCCATTGTTCTAATCTTGCCATTACAATTCCATCAAAGCGTGCGAAAACAAATTCGAAAATTTTGCTTCTGCATTCACCACACGGAGAAGGAGAAGAAGGCAGCAGCGGTATGAACCCTCATTCACTTTTTATTCCCTCTGCTCGTTCTCGGAAGCAAGAATATAAGAAGAAGAGGAATGGGAGTAGGTGTCGCGAATAAATTGGTAACTTTAATTAAGATATTGGACGAGCGATGATATTCTTTTGTTTCGTTTCGGGGACGATTCATCATAGCGCCCTGCCTGGGCCCGGCTATCTCGCTAATGAACATTTTAAATTGCGAAAAAGATAACACCGACTGGTGGCGCAGCGGAGAAAGCGAGATAGGACACTAGGGGTGGGTGCAGCCGCCGCCCCTTATCTTCCCGGCTATTTATACTGCGAAGGGTCGCCCTGAATTTATATATATTTATATATGTATATATATATATATTCTGTTCTGTTTCCTTTTTTTTTTTTCGCTCTTTCTCTCCGTGTCTTTCTTTTTCGCTCGCCGTTTTAATTGAAAGTGCGACTTGAATAAATGAAGAGCAAAAGGAGAGAATACAAAAATGAATAAATACGGAGGCCTTTACTACTTCTTAGGCAAACACTATAAAATGTGTCCTGGCTACAAAGACAAGCCGCCGCCGGATCAAACGCGCCCGTTTTATATATTTATCTACGTTTTATGATTAATTCGAACACACGCACGATTATTATTATTATTTCAGCCCGGGCTAAACAACCCAAAAAGCGACAAACCGAATAGGCCATCACCTCGGTACACCAACAAACACAGTTCTTCATCAAAAAGAGGAAATGCCGCCAAATCAAGGACTACTGTTTGTCTATTCTCTATTAATGCATTCATCTCAAAGTCTCTTTTAAGATAATTTCTATAGAAACATGAAAGTTTTAACGAAGCGGATTATGAATTTAATATAAACATAAAAACTGTAAATACCAGTTTAATGGAAGTTTTAGAAATTATGATGATAACTATCGTCAAAATTAGATTCGTCTATGCTAAACTTGTATAGTAAAAGAGACAGGAAAAAGTGGCGAACGATCGAGGGTTGATTTTTTTTCCTTCTTCTATTATTATATTTTTTTTTAGGCGAGTATGTTTGATGGGGGAGGGTGTTGTTTGGTATGGGATCCGATTAATCTGTATGCGGACGTTTGCTGATGACGGGTGCGATATTTTGAATTTCAAATGGGCTGGCTGTGGAAGTTTTTTCGCACGCGTCCGTCCGTCTGCCCGTGTACCCTGCGAGAATTACACAAAACGCGCCCTCGTGCAGCATTCTCTCTCGCTCCCTTCGGGCCCTTATTGTGTTGCCGGCGGGTCCGTTGTAATGGAAAACAACGTTAAACTGTGACTCCGGCAATGGGGTGAGGTAACAATGGGGCGCATTACACGACTTGCGGCATTGATAACAGTAACCACCATGAAGAAGACATGGACGGGGTGAAGAGGCGCAAAAAGAGTGAGAGCAGAAAAGAGATAGAGTGGGAAAGGACATGTAGACACACACACGCATCCACACAAACGACGATCGCCCCAGTGCAGGGAGGACCACAAAGGGTCCTTAACTGAAGGACCTCTTCGGAAACTCGATGATGCGATACACGTCGATGAAACCACCACCTTTTAGTCATCATCGATTGCGTGAATCTGCTGTAACTGGTTGTAACCGCAGTGTGGGGTTGTTAGCGTTTTCTCCTTTGCGGTTTTCAACTTGAAGCGGTTCTTCCTTTCTGTTCCTCATCCTTGGGCTTGTATATGAATGCATGTATGTATGTAAGTATGGGTGAGTGTGTGCGTTCATTCGTTCTTCTGTTTATTTCGCTTTTAAATATTTACGTTTAACAGCCCTCCTTATCCGTGGGTAAAAATAAACCACAAACATCCACACACATGGGGAATGGGCAGACCGCATTTTACAAACACTTATCTCGAAGCCTGCGGTCGCGCCGCAGCCACGCAGATTGTCTTTTTCCGCCTGGCTTCGCTTCTTCCCCCGAGAAATGTTGATGCCACAGCAGACGCTGCCGCCGCCGCTGCCTCCTCCGCACAATTTTTGAACTTAATCCTGCTCCAACTTTCGCGCGAATATTGTTAATGGAAATTACATACCCAACCCTCCCTCGAGTCTTAAGACTTTCCTAATGGATGCAAAGCTATGGGGAGTGGGTGAGACGGAGGCACCGCATTGAAAAGAAAGACCCGATTTATGTATTTTTCTTCGACATATCTTTGACCCTTTCGGCGTTCCGGGTCACCGACCAGAAACCCAATTATAATTCCAAGATAATCATTCTCGCATTTTTTTTTCCTTCTACGCTATCACATTCTCTCTCTCTCTCCTTCTCTGTATTTCTCCGTTAATTTTATATGTACTTTTCTTACTTTAAGCAGATTATTATTCTTTTAATTATTCAATATTTATTTGGCCTCACAAAGAGAGCAACAGCAGAGGCAATAAACATGTTGTCGCTTTCAATTAGCACAATTTGTCGCGGCCGCTGAGTTATTATGCGCGACGGTTTTCAATTTCCGAAAGACGACCCTCGACTCCACTCCTCTTCTCCAACAGAGTTCATTCATTTGTTTATATTGTAAATGAATTATTTATGCGCGAAACTGCGTGATTAAAAGACAATAACAGCCGCTGATGTGATTAACGCGCCGCACCGCGCCGATAACCCCGAGTCCAATTCCCATCAACTTCTTGGAATGGAACAAAAGCGCATCGTCCTTATCGTTCGTTGCATTTCAGAAATAAAAGAAATAACAAAATCCATATTGCAAGAAAAGAGGATACTAGTACATTAACACTTCCAATATACCATAAAATTGTAATTCAAATAGTTCTTCAATAATAGGAGGAGAATAAAATATGTTAACGCACGTCAATCACAAAAATGTAAAAAAACGAGAAGATTCTATTCACACAAAAAAAACTATTTTATAAACCTGTTTAATGGCATTAAATAGATATTGTCGAGGAAAATGCGGTTTGCATTTAACGTAAACAATGAAATAGAAATAGATGAATGAATGCATTCTGTTGACAGGTTGCATGTTGGAACTGTCGTAATAATAAACCAAAAACGAAAGGCAAAAGATTGAAAGCTTTTTTTAGTAATTCATACCGAAAGCATTCCAAGTTTGCTTAAATAAAGCAATGTTATTTTTATTATTTTTTATTTATTGCGATAGAATTACAGATGAGCATCGATACGTGTTTGAATTGATCTGAATAATGTTCTAACAATAAGATTAAAAAATTCTTTTCCAAAGGAACAATTTTGTTTGGAATGGATGCTTTTGATTTTCGATGAGGCTGTTAAAGTATGTTAAAATGTACATACATTTCATAGTTACGTAGATTCTAGTTTGGATGAGGGCGGGGGTTGTAGTAGCCGCCGCCGCTACTGCTGCTATTGAAGCGGGTTGCCTGTTTATCTGCAGAGTTTGTGCAATTAAAGCCCGTTATCGGACGCCGGCCAATTTAAACGGAGTTCCGGATCGGACGGATCTCTGGCCGGGGGGGCGACATTCAGCTGTATTTAGTGTCCCCCGTCTCTCTGATCAACATCAGTCGTCCAGATCAGTCATATACCCCGACAAATGCAAACGCCACAGATATGATACAAATCAATACTGATGCGACGTCCGACTTGTCTGGTCTCATCTCAATCAGAAACATTGAAAACACCTCTTCTGTAAGACTATCGCAGAATAACAGAACGATCTACTTTTTAGAATGGGTACGAAAAGCGTAAAAGTTGAAACCTCATTTCCACCGTACATTCTTTCTTCTTGTTTTAGTGCGTGGGTCATAAAGTTGGTCACGTGGCCGCATCGTAAAGTTTCATTAGCGACTCTGAATTAAACTAATGTCACCACAATGTGTAATTGTGTACACAGCCAACCACCTCTTCGTAATGTGCAACTCGATATATGTTCGAAATGCGTGTATGTTTCTCTCTCTCTCTCTCTCTTTGTGTATGTATGTTGGATATATCTGACGCACAAATCTGAATTTATTACGGCCGCATTAATGCACGTCATCGCATGATCATAACTAACACGCGTTATTTTATACAATTACATCGTCCTGGACTGCTCTCTTTTTTCTACTCATACATTTTTTTTCGTGTGATTCCCTCTCGAAAATGTCCCCGATGTAATCGCTGAGCGACGAGTAATTAGCGATCATTGGGGACCGTAATGGAATTGAATGAATAGGTAACGTCTCTAATGAAGAGTTCGCGGGCGACTCTTCTTCATCGGACAAAAAAAAAATAGAAGTTACATGGGCGATAACGCTAATGGCTAAATCGATAAAAGGTCATTAAATATTACATTTGCCGTCCCCGAAATCCCAATTTCATTAATATTCACATAAACGCAGACATGCAGACACACACTCACACACGCACAGAGGCAAAAAGCAATTTTTGATTCTCATAAGCGACTCGGATGGAAGATGATGGCAAAATGGCTCTATTATTCTTTTGTCGTTTGCTTATTTTTTGTTGTTGTCGTTTTTGCTTTCTCGAGTCGGCGGGGCACGTCTTTATTTATTGTATATTTGTTAACGATGATAAGAATGAATAAATCATGAGTTTTGACTTACCTGGATCTGAACCGTCGATCGTCTGCTGCGAGGATGGGGGCTGCGAGAGGGGGCCCGGAGTGCCCGGCGACCTCACGTCGTCGTTCACGGGGCCCCCGTACGAGAGGGACGAGGAGGGCGGTCGCTGCAATCAGAAAAAACACTGATGACACATAGTCTCATCTATACACTCCCCAGCATCGGCCCCATTACCATACCATACCACCCCCAACAAATAATAATAATAAAAAAAGAAATAAAACATGCATGCATACACAAAAAAAAATAAAATATTAAATATTAAGAATACACATATATGTGATGGAAGAAAAATGGAGACAAAAAAAAACTTGACTTCACTTCCTGATGTGTGAGTCGTCCCGCTTGGGGATTGCCACTCACGGATATTGAAAGCGCAGGGAGGATGAATATTATGTGCTGTACGTGTGCGTGCGGTCGGGTCCCCCGGGTCTCAGTTGCGACACGACACTTCACTTTAGGTTGCATTGGCCCCCCCTTTTTTGCTCTCTTCTTCTTCCGAAGCGAAATATGAAACCGATACGTAATGAGACTGAGGGAGGAAGAGGCGGAGGACTTGACACTACCCACGATCCATGAAAAAGAGAGAAAGAAAAACAAAAAAAAAGCGGAGGCTGAAGTAGAAATCCCACAAGATGGGAAAACAGAGCCCACCATTCATAGCCCCCCCAGACGAGGTCAAAAAACCTTCCGCGCTTCCCCAAAGACAAAAATCATGTAATATGCGAGGATTCTCGAAAACGGCGCATTCTTGGAAGTGCCCCTTTACGATTCACGGTATAACAATAATAAGAAAACGCGGAGAGAGCGGATGATTTCGCGCACTTTATTAGTTTTCAGAATCCGAGACTTTTCGTCATCTCCGGATTGCCGCGTTCCGCAGAAGACCATGACGATGATGTTAATGACCCGACTTCGGAAAATATGTAATTTTCGCATTTTAATTTTGTCCTTTTTTGCCGTGGAAGAAGCGAACGAGAAGGAAAAGAAGAAGTTGGTCAGGTTCTCATGCTCGACACGACCGCACTGTTTGTAAACAGCATAGGCGCGAGTCATGTCCCGAATGGGGAATCAGCTGGAGCTCTCTCCTCTTGGCTTCTCCACTGTCTCGTACGTGGTAATGTCGTGTCATGTATGTGTGTTTATATGTATATGCACATATATATGTATGTATGTATATATGCCTGATTTAATAAAGGCCGAAGGACGGGAGAGACGACATCGTCGACGGAATGATGGTTGGCAGGCGGGCGAACGCCATCACTACTAATGCACTTAATGCATCTAATCACATTATGCAGGAGCACTCCTGCGCTAAAATCACTAATCATAACGCATCAGTGAAAACACCCACCCGAACTGGTGGAAATGTAATTGACTTTCGGGGCTAAATGGTAGAAAATGGATAAGTCGTGTAGTTCAGATGATGTTGATGAGCAGGAATCATCTGGGATGGGGGAGATGCGGACCACTTGAAACGTTGGGGGAGAGAACCGCCCGTATTAGAGAAAAAAAAAACAAAGACGAAAAATATAAGCATGCATCAGCAGAGAAATTACCAGAGAGAGAATCAACTCTTTATTCAATTTCCGTTAAGTCAATCTCGGCACTTAAGTAATTGACACTGTCGACGCAATGCGGGCTCTGCCTACCTCCCCCCTAAAAGGCGTACAGTTTCGGTTATGCCATGGCACCCCCTTCGGGAAGAAAGACCAAGGCATATGTTCGATGCAGATGTCGAACGCGGTACACTAATACGTGTCATTACCAATAAAATACATACATACATCGGAGGTGCCAATACTAATTGCATTATTCCGCGCGCATATGTTGTCAGTCGTTTAGACACACACACCGGAGGCGGAAATTCTCGTTATGGCCCACTTGTTCACTAACGCGTTCGCAGCTTTTAATAAAACCCACCGATATTTTTTTCTCTCCCTCATCTATTTATTCGCACCTAATTGAAAATCCAACTGGCCTCTGCACAGGAAATCAAGCGTGCTACTTCCGGGACTTATTGTGTTTGTTCTAGCAAGCAACACCCACCCCTAAGTAAAAAAAACATGGACAATAACCAGGCCATCGTATACGTAACGGCATAATTAGCTCGAACTGATGTCGATGACGATGATGATGAAGCAAAGTCTCTGATGCGGAGGATAGACTACGCAGAAGAAGACCCAAGGTCGCCGACATAACTTTTCACGAGAACTATATAAACAGCCGTAAAGAATACGCTCTCCGCTCGCACGTTACGAGCCCACAATAAGCGTAACTGTACACCAACTGTTGCGGATTTCATTTGTTTCCCTTTTAAAGATTTTATTTTTCTCGAAATTTCATTTCAGTTTCGCTTTCTTTTATTATTTATCTTTACATTTTGACCTATTTCTATATAATACATGTTGTGCTCGAAATAAATCAGAGTTTGTGTAAAGAATGCGTATGGATAAGACCTTATTGCAAATGTGTTTCTTAACATTGATAGGTTTATATTAGTTGCGTGTTAGGAATGGCCGAAAATTATGCGGCGGTTGAAAAATGCTTCTTCGGAGAGTTTCGAAACTGGCTCAGAAATGTGCAGGATTTCAGGAAACGGCTTGAACGTAAATATTTTCGGGATTCCAGGTTTTTCGTGTAATTTTATTGTTGGTGAGGAGAGGTGATGAAAATTGCTGAAAAAGCTTTTGTAATGGGTATTCCGGGGGAGTGAACGAACTCTTGGTGGGAGTGAGAGAGAAGAGAACAAATAGCCACCAAATTGAGAACAGCTGGGGCTGACAGGCAAACAAAGACGGCGCTCGCGCCGACCAACACACTTCTGACGGAGACAGCTCAGAGCTTTTACACACACACATACACACGAATGAGCGAGCTTAGAAAAGTGCGTGTGCACGCGTGTGTATGGGACGGGTAATTGTGTGCCTCAACCGCCTCCTTCCCCGAGGCGATGGGGGCTTACGTTGCAGCCGTATCCAGCGCCGCCGCCGTCATCTGCAGACGAAGGACCTGGCTGCTTCTTATCGCAGACAGGAGGATAATTAAATTTGTCCCGGTGATTTATCGGGAGGACGGCAAGTGATGTATGCGGAGTTCCTCGCGCTCTAGCTCCTAGATAAAAGCGACAATTACACATTCATCACACCTGCGAAATAAACATCGTTCAAGCGCTCACAACCCCATAGCTTTTTTCTTCAATTCCATGATGCGAGGATGTGAGCATGTATGTGTGTACGTCTGCGTTTTATATTTTAGAAACATCAGTCATTACGGTCCATTACCGAGCGCCGGTCACGGCGGTAATGGAGCGACGGCCATCCGTCCTGCTTAGAGAGATTGATTCGCCAAACGTAGCCCCGGACGGACCGGTCAGTATTTCATTTTAATGGTCCCCGAGGACTCCGGATTCCATTAAGCCGTTCCTCGAGCTTGATGCTCTTCGCCTCTTCCTGCTGCTTGACTTGACTAGTCTCCGCTGTACGCCTCGTTGCAGGAGGATGATGCTCAGGAGAATGAAGCGCGGCAATCCCGCAGGATTGATCCACCTGTTTGAAGGCAAAACCTTCCCCCCTTTTACAAGCCATCAGCGTCTCCGGAATTAGGCCGTTTTCTCCCGGCACCGCGCCGTTCTTTTTATTTCATTCCCAGACCCGTTTTACAAGCCATTCCGAGTCAATAAAATGATAATAAAACTAGGGGGATGGATGCAAATTTCCTTAGCGTCTTCCTACTTTCCGCTTCTTCTGGGGAGCCAGAAGTAATACTGCAAGATGAGATTTTCGTGATGGAGAAAGAGAGAGAATGTGTGTGTGTATGTATGTGCACGCGTCAATCTGATCCCGCTGCCGTTGCCCTTGCGACTATAAATACCGAAGTAATTATACCGCTCAGACGCGCGCTACAGATGCTATTGGCAGCCGGAGGTATGAAGTATTCTCATTTTGAGCGCCTTCCAAAGCGGCGCGAACCCGGGCCTCCTCCGACTCTCTCGCATTCCCCAAAGTCGCTCTCTCTTCCCCCAATCTATATTTACGCCGCGCATTCCACTCTCCTCCGAAAGACACGGCCGAAGTAAAAACTATGGGGGCGGTCTGTTGGTCGGTGGTGGCTGCTGCGTTCATCCTCTTCTTCTGTATAGCAAAGGGAACACGGATGAATCGACCGAGCGGTGGAGGCGGCTGCTGACCGCACAGCTTACCAAGGGTGTAACTCAATCCATCCCTCTCCCTGCTAGCATGAGCGATGCGTCAGACTAAATTGACACCAATTACCAGTAAAACTCCCTGCTTTCAGCCTCTCCCCCAATTCCTTTCCCGTGCCGCTACTTCTTACTTACTTCTCCAACCGCACCGCACCACTAAAGAAACAAGCGCGCGGGGCGTGCATAATTCAGCAATCCTTTTTGCCTAATCCCTAGATGGAAATCAATACAACTTCATTCGATTTCCGACATCAACTAATCTCCTACAATTGGATTCTAATATATATATATATACAGAAGTGAAAATAATTCCTATTTTGTTTACAAACGGATTTACCGCAAAGGACGTGGATTGGATGTTTTGATGTTTAGAGATTGAGGGTAAAAACTTACAACATCCGGCGTGCTCGCTCCGTCCGTGTGGGATGTGGAGTCCGCGTTACTCCTGGTGCCGCCGTCACCGTTCGTAGATCCGCCTAACTCTGGGGGCTTCGTTCCGTCCCGTTCGTCTATCACCAGATCGATGGGCATTTTTCCCTTCAGACAACTGATATATCTATGACAGAAATTGTCGCAGAGCTCGTGCACCTGGTGGATAAAAATAAAGAAGTTAGTTTCGGAATCATGATCATCGGCATCATCATATGTTTGTTCGCTTGCAACGATGTGTATGTGTGTATATGCGAGAGTGTGTGCATATGTGTGTGGATAGAATGCAAGATGGCGTCGCGGCCAGGCGCTAACCGGTTATGTTTGGCTCGCAAACCAGATTATTAACAATATCCAGGAGAGAGAAGAAGGAGAGATAAGTCGGCGCGATAGTCCGAGCGTGTGTCCCCCTTTTAGCAATTTAAATTGTGCAGCGCATGCAAAGCGAGAAGCGAGCGGTCGTCGCCGCCGCCGTCCTCTTCGTCGCCGTCGTCGTCGTAACCGTGGCCACCGCCGCCTCCCCACAGCGATTGCATTTCCATAATTTCGAGTTTTTAATGCGCCTGGACACATACTAATATATATATATATATATACACACACACACAATTGCATATGCACAAACTCGCAGATACTCCCTTCCTCTCCGCGAATGTTATTGACCGCAAAACTCACCTTTTCTAGTTCGAGGAGGTGAAACCGCAACACCTGTATCGCTTGTACCATCTAAAACAGAGAAAAAAAATATAGGTTAGATTTGTGCCAACATCATCGTCGAGCTGAAGTTCAGCCGCCCCCACCCGATCACAGGATAAATGGGTGTAAACATACGTGTCCATGAATGAACAACGTCCTTTATCGTTAGCAGCCAGAAACTCTTGTTGGGTCAGCAAACACGCCGACGGTGACTAACGCCGCTCCATACAACTACCCACCCATCAAACCAACCCTCCAAGCCTGTCTCTTGCAAACACACACACACTCCCAAAACCCCATTATATATTTATCCTGGCTGTGAAAGAAAGAGACCCTCCGCCGACACCCTTAAAAATACCAACAAATTATCCATTCATTACTTGTAGAAACCTCCACCTCCTACTTTATTTGCTTCTACACTGCATGTGAAAACACAGCAAATACGTTTTCCACATCATTTACCAATTGTCATTCTTCAAATTCAGCAGATCAAACATAACTTATTGCCATGAAAAAAATGAGTATAATAGAATAGTCAAATAATGTTTAATATCAACAATTTTATTATAATAAAATTGTGCGTTGTTGAAAATGTAATTAGGCTCAGTAGGAAAGATTCGCAAATTAAATGAAAATTATTTTCTTAGCTTAATGCAATACAGTGCGCGACTTAGTAAAATTAAAGCAGATCAATGCTATTGATTCAGATCAATCCTGATAATCAAAAATCAAAAAAGAAAGAACAATCGAGAGAAGTAGCTTTTGTTTTGTTAAAATTAAGCGATGATACGAATCTCGGCAATTTGTTTGCTTTTGGTATGATGAGAGTGAGTGTATTCATGATTAGACCTAGGAGGGTTGGAAAGCGCAACCCCCGAAAGCCTCCCGGATGGTGTTGGAACCCCATGATTACAGTGTTTATTTTCGGATAACGATTATTACGTTACACAGGAGAACCCGGCATCTCACTGCGACGAGCGGAGCGAAGAAGTGAAGAAAACACGTTTTCGATGAAAGATCCTTTTATTCACTCCTCTCTTTCACTCTATCTCTGTCCTCTCTCACACAGCTTGGTCCCAAAAAACTATAATACGCTGGGGCAGCCGGTTTTTCAGCCCCGTCAAAGAGGACAACACAAAAATGAGAACAGATCTATTCTATTTCAAAACAGGTTAAACGTTTAACATAAATATTTCAAATTGTTACTCAAAAATTTCCTGCACTTTGTGTAAACTGTTTTATTTTTATTTCCAAAATATTAGTTTTAGTTATAATTGTGGTCTGTTTCGTTATTCCTCCAAGAGAGAAATCGTATCCCTTCGGTCATAGTCAATTACGGATGAATAATGAGGCCTATGGTATTCTATGCTGTTATCTGATACCGTTTCTGTCCGCTTTGTTGGTTTGCTGGTAGTTCGCGGGTTGCTAAAACATGCGTCAGGGGATGGTGCGCGGTGTAATTAAGCGCGCGTCGGCCGCGAAACTACAACTCTCGCTCGAATTAAATTCCATATTGTAAATCATGCAAAAGTAATTTGTTTTGGGTCGGCGAATGAAAAATTCATACAATTTATGAAAACACTATTTCCCTCCTTTACGTTCTTTGTTGGTCGAACCCGGAGTGTTGTCCGTATAGTGTTTTAATAAAAATGTTAATGCTGTCGTGTCCGAGGGCCGTAAGGGCGTTTTCCTCTTGCTTCAATATACTAATCTTGATGCAAATAATACGAAACCCCCATTCCTTTTCGCTTTTAATCAGCGAACTGCGGCGGGGACGATTGGGTGGCGGGAGGTGTTTTCAGCTACAAATACAACTTAATTTTTACTTACGAGTGAATCGACTTCGGGGTCCGCGATGTAGTAGGGTTTTTCTTGTCGGATCTGGAAAAAGAGCAAAAACATAATAATATGCAGAAGAGACTTAATAAGGTGGCCTGACCTCGTTTTTAAAAGGCCATAAAGACACGCGGGTCCACTCTTTATTGCCCATCGAGGGGAAAAAATCATATTTAAATTTCGGTAAATTGTTTTCGCGTTTTCTTCTGTCGACAAGGAACCGGACCCAAGAGATTGTCTTCACTCTACCTTAGCGGCAAGCAGTGACTTCTTTTCTCGAAGGACGGGTAAATGGTAACGTGTAATTACTCGGGGGTCCGAATCCGCCCCCCGAGATGATGGCCCACGTGCCGCGACGTGCAACCGCTTTTTATCAACCAACTCCTTCTTTTCCTCCTTATAATAATAATTATAGCCTATTTCGGACCGGCCCCGTCCCCATTTTATTACGCTCTCTTCAAGCGACCGATTTTTGAAACCACCGGTTTTCTGTAATAAATAAACGCTTCCTTGCTACGACCGTACCAAAGAAAAAAAACAACGACCATAGTGCCAACCTTCACGACGACAGCTTAATATCACACCTAAGATAAAAAGCACGTGCTACTTCTTGGACAGAACATGAACTTCGATAAAATAACTGAATTTAAAAATTGAGCGAATTATCCTGGATCAACGAATTTTCGACTAGTTTCAGGTAGATGCTTTCTTTACGAAAAGCATTAGGCACTACATCATTTGTCTTTTCTTTACAGTATTATATCTCGTTTTCCTCCTTCACTCTGAATAGAAATTTCTTCTTTTTTTTCTCTTTCCACACTTTCGATTCTTATCTCTACGCCTTTTACTTTTTTTTCCTCTTGGCAGAAGGGCCTACCTTTCTTATAATTTATCTTTGCACAATTCATTAAAGACTCACTAAAAAGCCATCAAAATATGATAATTATCTCCTTTTCTCTAAAACATAACTCATCAATTATCTTCCGGTGGATTGTTAGATTTCTTCAACGCGATAACCGAAGATGTTTCCAACGTCCTTCGCCAGCTGAACTCCATGTGACCAATAGCCATTTACCATTAAAATTTGACAACTACAAACAATTACTTGAAACTTCCCTAAAGAAATTGAGTCTCTTTACCTGATTCAGGGCATTCTGTAAATAATAAACGCAACGCTTTCAGTTGACCCGGGTCAAAATAAAGAAGTGAAAGACAGGCTTGGAGAAAAGATATAAATAAATAAAAACGAGTTCCCTTTATTTAGCAGAAAGTAAAAAGAGGCGAATGAGAGAGAGACAACAAAAATGTCGTCATAAAAAGTTTACAAGTCGTAAAATCGGAACGCGCAGGCGAGAAAGAGACAAAAGCAGTTTAACATTCCAACTTTTATTGAGTTAGGTCAGTTTTAAATTAGAGTCAAAGCATATAAATTAGATTACATTTAGTGTATTCAAATTCGATGTGTTTTCTCTCACATTCGTTCGACGAAATTACATTTAATTGAAATACACAGTCCAAGAAGTTCGATGTGAAACTCGAAGACTGGCATTAATGAATTTACACATTATCTGTATTTGGAATTCTTCTAAGGTGCAATAAATAATTTTATAGAGATTATGAAAGGTTGTAACTGCTTTTTTATCTTACATTTTTTATTAGCTTTTTAGGTTTTATGGTCGAGGCGTGGAAATTTAATAGAATAAAAAGATATGTAGAAGAGGAGATTTTTGTTACATAGATGAGTGAGTGTGTTTTCTGGCCACAGGTAGTACAAAAGTAAAAAAGCGTGTGCGTGTAAAGGGAGGACGAAGAGCTAGTAAAATGCGACACATGCGAACGAGGGTGAGACCAGAGCACATTAAATGGTATAATCTAATTTCTGGGGCATCGGGGATGAATCGATGTAATTGTGTTACATCCGAAAAGGATTGGGGACTCCTCCTCTGTTCTCTTCGCTTCTCAATATATATATTTTTTTGTGTTGTGCTGCTCATATTCAGGGGGCCATATGCAGTGTGCAACATAGTGAGCGTACAACGAGCATTGTGGTGGTGCATTGGAGCATGGATGGGTCGTTTTGTATTTTCTGGATGCTCTTTTCCTTCTCGCTCTTCCTCTCTTTATCTCTCGCTCTATGGGAGCCAGAAGTCACCCAGCGGGTGTCCCCGTCTCTGTGTTCTTTCTCCTCTTCAATTCTCTCTCATGTATGTATGGTGTGTATATATATATATATATGAGTGTGTACTGCCACGCCAAAAACCATCTCCTCATCTGCCACTCAGTCATCACCGAAAGTTATCTTCATTAATGCCCTCAGCCATTGTATATAAACAGAACGCCACACGTGTTTTAACGATCTATCAAACACTGCTTCGCTCTGTTCTCTCCATCTCGGAATCTCAGTAAAAAAAATCAACCAAATCCAGCCTCACATCAACAATGAAAGTTGCAATGAGCTTACCAAACTTACTAAACCAAATAAAACGAAAATAGCAAATAAAAGATATAGCATCCATTTTATCATCATCCAACTTATTTCGTTAATTTTAGTCGTTTGAATGGATGCTTTCGCTAATACTGTCTGCGGACAGTAAATTTTCTGCAAAATTCGTCTTTCTTTGTTTTTATTCTTTCTTTTTTTTTTGGATTTGGAGATTTGCGGTGTTGCTAAGGCAACGCTGCGGCCGCCGCGATAGGGCCGTTGTTGTTTGCTTATTCTATCGGTTCACAGGATGCTATGCAGGTACACACAGGTGAGGACGGAATGAATAGAATGCAGCCTCCTTTGTCCGCGACTAAACTGGATCGAAAAACCTCACTCCGATCTCTTCCTCCACCTCTCGCATATTTTTTTTTCCATCCTCGACTTCGTCGTCCATGCGAAGAGCAGGACGACTCCGCATTATTTCCATGCCTCGAAAGCAAATAAAAATCTCTCCTTCGTGTATTTTATTATTTTAAGTGATGTGGGAGTTCGGCCTGTGTATATACATATATATACGATGTATACGTATGTGTGTGAGTTCGAGTGTTGTTGTTGGCGTGGAAGGGAAAAGGGTTGAAAAGCTGACTGCCGCCCCCCGCCGGACACTCACCTGCCGTTTACAGCGAGGCCGTAATTTATAGCGGGGCTTGTAAAATAATTTATGTCGGACTGTAAATAACTAACATGTTATATTTATGGCTATAACCGTATATATCCACTCGTACACTCTACCTCTCTAATAGTTCTTAACTACTCAATACTATATAATTTTTCTTCTTTTTCGTCTTAGATACTCGCATTCTGAACACACGAAAACAAACTTCCCAAATTTTCCAATGTAACACAACACAATACATAAAAAACAATATTGGAAATGAATGATTCAACATTACGAATTAACGCGATTTGCGTATTTATTGTAAGATGCAAATGATGGATCGAGTTATGTTCAGAACGTTTGGAAAAACCAATACTCGTAATGAAATGGTTAAGTTAATTGGAATTAACGAGTAGAACTGTCCCGTTCCTGTTTTTTTTTTATCCCCATAGTAGTTTGTTGCGTTATCGGTCGTAATCAAATAGGCAATAAAATCTTATTTTGAGTTACACAAAACAACAAAACAAAAGGAGAAACAACTGGAGTCACGCGACCACAAACGCACACGTACAGTATTCTAATTTTAAAATACCCCAAAAGGAAATTATATAAATATATGATAATCCATTTTTGGCAAAAGCAATTAAAACTATTATGCTTTATTGATGTAATCAATTATAATCATTAATTGGTAATTTATGTTTGAATGAAGTATATGAAAGAAAAGTAAAAATTTAATTTATTTTTTGAAAGTCGATTTGAAGTGTAATATTTATTTAATTTTAATTAGGTTGTGGAGCTGTGTCGAAATGAGGAAACAATGTATAAATTTGTCGGAGACACCTCTTGCAAAAAGGAAAAATTCGAAAGGGTGGTCGATTGTGTTTGGGATGAATAATGCACGGTGTTTGGGGCCTTTGTCTCAGGGCGGGCGTGTAATTTACTGTCCTCCGGTAATTAAAAGGTGGCGATTAATGGCAACAAGAACTGATCGGAACGGCAGTTACGACCGACAACTATTCCACCAACGTCTCATACATTACACAACGGCCGTCATCAGTCTTACGCATGCATGCCATGCCAGAGCCCTCCCAAAAAATATGGACGGTTCGGCGCGGATCATCTCGGCTTTCATCAACGGCCCAAAAGAAGGAGAAAGACATCGAACGAGGAGAGAAATAGATGGAAAAGAGAAGAGAAGAAGGAAAAAAAAAGAGAAAAGAACCGACGAAGAAAGAGAGAATTATATTTTTCCCTTCAGGATTAAAACACACGTGGAATGTCGTTAGGCTCTCTCTTGTATTCGTTTTTTTTTCGTCTCCTGTTGTTGCTCACGGAGGGAAGGCTTTTTTCTTCAACTCGCCATCAACAACAACAACAAAAAAAAGTTCTATATCCTTGAATGATGAAAAAAAAAGAAGAATAATCGCCACGGAAGCCCGAAAACAAAAGACCGAAATATCCGCTTACTACTCTAATATAATTAATCCCCAGGCCAGAAGTAATTATATTAAAAACTATTAACATTCTCGAGACGACGTCCTCCTCGTTCTCTTTCTCTCTCTCACACATACACACACTCTTTCTCAGCCTTTAATTTTCCAGTTTCCCCGCGCACTTGGTCTTGCTCCTTTTTCCTCTGCATCTTCGCTTTCTTGTTTTCATTTTGCTCTCACGAGCGAACGAGTAAATCTCTTAATTAGCGTTTGATTAATTGCGAGCGCAATTAAAATAAATTGAGCCGATGCGCGGCGAGTTTTAAATAAATAAATTTCGGCGCGATCTGAATGTGAAATATGGACAGCACACGCATATCGTACACACTCCTTCATTTACACACAAACAGAATTCCAATTACAAATTTCATCGCACCCGAACTTTCGTATGGAAAGACAACCAAAGAAATAATATGAACCTGAAGAACGAGACTTGAATGCATGCGTTCCAAGCATTTTCGAATTTCATTTACATCATTGATTATATTGTATTGTATAAGTTTATGATGGCACGTTTTTATTAATCCCTTTGCTCGAGTAAAATAGTACTACGGAATATATGAGAAAAAAAAAGGAGCACATGTTCCGAGTTGAAGCGGCCGGCGGTGATTTATGCTCTATTTTATTACTGCTTTAATAGAGAAATGGTTTGTTTTAAAACAGATATATCGGGTTTCGTCCTTTGCGGTGAATGCATTTGAGGGGAGGCTCTTGTCGTTCCTTTTCTTGTCGTTTGGGTTAAAATATAAAAAGGATTGATTGGTGACGCGGGACGGGATTTAATGGTCGCACTGTGTGTAAAATGAAGGAGCGCTGGGAATGCGGCGTGTAGAAATGCGAGAGGGCAATCGATCGGAGGAGAAGAAAGAACAAGAAATGGAAGATGATGATGATGAAGAAGAAAACGGCGGACGTTGTCGAGGATGAGGAGGATGAAGAGGAGGCACGGAAAGCGAGTAAGAAAGAAACGGGCCGGGGCATTTAATATAAATACGTTTAATAATGTTAAATGTGCCGCGTTATTCGTTCTCTCGCATTCCGAACCAGCTGGCGCAGTTAAAAAGGAATCGGCATTAAATGGCCTGTTAGAAAATTCCCACTTACGAATGTTTAATATCTATATTTATGCTCGAATTATGGGGGCCCTTCGAGATATATCATCGTAGACGTAAACAGTCCTACGTGGGGGCCCTTCGCGCGCTCGTAAATCAGCCCATCAGGTATAAAGCACCATCCCTCAAACATGGAAAAATAAATCTTCTCTTCTGTATTTTCTTTTTATTTCAGTTATCTTCTGTAATTAAAAGAGGGTGGAACCGAACAAAAACAAGGGAAGATTTCGAATCAAAACCCCTTTGCTCCAGGGGGGGCAGCCCAGAGAGAACGTGCGCCCAAAGGGCAATTAGAGCGGGACAATGGTTGCTGTGGTTGTTCATTTCGCAAGAAACCGCGCCGCGGGATTCTTTCTGCCTCCTGTTCCATGTCCAGGGAGGCTTTCACGGGAAATTACCAACAATATAGTGCAACAATGCCCAAAAGCACTGTAAAGTGAACAAAAAAGAGAGAGGAATTGAACAAAACCAAGAGGAAAAGGTTTCCATGCATAGAGGGGGACGCCCTTTTCGCAGCAACAGCAGCGGCACTCGTGGTCCCAATAAACAAACACTCCTCACGTAACACGCATTCTATGTTTGGTTACATCAAACCAAACAAATACAATTGGATTTTATACGAAAAGGCAACAAACACGGTCCCTCTGAGCATTGAAATGAAGAGAGAGATATAGATAGAAAGAGAGCAGAAGTTGTAAAGAAACCCCATTAACTGTAAAAGTATTAGACCACAAAACTTAAATGGGCACGTCGTTAAGATAGGACGCGATAAAGTTCCGTTTTCGATATATATTTTTTCGTGTTCGAAGATATATCTATAAACTAATTACATTTTTGCCAAGTATGCCCCATGTTTTGATGGCTATATTAAAGGCCGCCGGTGATTTATTTCCAATCCCATAAATTTACGGCCCTGCCAATACGCAAATGGCTCTGCAACAAAACCACATGTTCTCGTCCTCTTGGTTTACTCTCTCTCTCTCACTCATTTTCTCCTTTTTTTTTGCTCTTTCCGGGGAGTTGAAATCTTGTGACCTTCTCAGAAGTCACCGTTACATCTGCACGCTTCAGCCCCCATCGGGCTCCCAAAAATACATCCCCCTGGTCACAGTTACCAAAATAGAAAAGAATTTCCGAGAAACGAACCTTTTCGTTCTATGCATCTAACCTTCCCTTTTTTTTTCAATTAGAAAAAATCATGTAGTTTTTCTTTCCTCGGAAATTCGATTCCCACATGATTTATGGGCGACACAAACTTCTCGTCCCAAACTTAGTTACAAAATAAAACATGATTTAGTACTTTGGTCATTTTTCTTTTTCGACCCGTTTCAGAACTTACAAGCAATAATTGCAAATTGTATTATTTTTCTACAAGAAATGTACTTTGAAAATAGAAATTAAGAGGTTGCTTTATGAAGTGACAACTTAAATAATACTTACATATCTAAAAACGATAACTTTCAAATAGTTAATTTATGTTATATTTTATTACTCGTTTGAGAGATGAGAAACTATGTTTTTCAGTTTGAGACTATTAATTTTTATGAAGCATAAGAAACTTTATACGAAAAATATTCATTGATTATTAATTTGGATTCAATTTCTGTAAAGAATATTGGAATTTTCGAACGTAAAAAGAGCATACAGAGAAATCGACACCTTTAGTCTCCCCGCTGCGCTGCGTCCTCCCTATGGGAATGATTAGCATGATAATGAGCGATGATGAAATTTAATAACAATAAGCCTTGCGGTCCCCCTTTTGAAAGCATCCATCCCTTATTCCGGGCAGAGCCACCCCTTCTACGTGTGTAATTTTAAACAGCTGAACGTGTAAATTTGCTTAACCGTAAATGTATTTATTCCCTCATATTCAAATTCATAACCCCAAATCTTATAAAGACGGGGTCGGCCCCTGTTTTGATTTATTCAACGGCGGGTGCAAACACGCAGCAGCGGCGGTGCGTCCGGGGATGTGTAATTACAAAGTCAAAATCTCCAATCACGAGCGGAAAAAGGGGTCGGTCGTCCCCCAACTGCAGCAGCCAACGCGCAGCAGTTAATCTGCATAGATCCGATGAAGATGACCCAAAATGATGGATAATGATGCGGAAATCAAAACAAAATGAAATTTAAATGCGAGACGAGGGCGCACCCCCATGGATGGATGAGATTGTCCGCCATTCGCACGATTTAAATATTATTACAACGGACTTGGGGGTCCTCCTATACTTTTGGTGGAAGTAGAAGTCCATAGGATTATTACATCTGTTTGCTTAATAAAAAGCTTAATTCTGTTGTAATAAGTCTGCGGCTACTGATAACTCGACCAGATAAGAATAGGTAGCTGCATTCTACTATACACACTCAGATAATAAATATATATATACAACAAAGTTTGTAATTTCCCGGACTATGTGTGTGTGCGCACCTCTTAATTAAATGTTTTCGGAGGTAAATACAGTCGAATTTTCTCTTATCATTCTTTTTGAAGTATTGTATATTCTGGAGATGTTTTACATATGTTTTCATGTTTATCGTTTTCTGATAAGGTTGTAATCGTAGTTGACGTTGATAACAGTGTATCAAAAATCAACAATACTTCTCCCCTGACTTCGCTCTGTCTCTTTCGCCCCCGAAACGATGCGCGGGTTTTCTTTGTTTCTCTCTCGCTAGGCCCACTCGTCTACCTGTCCGTCGACAAATTTAGTGCATTACATTATTGTTATTAATATTAATCGGGGATGATGATGATGATGATAGCGAAAGGGGGGAGAGCGATGAGGTGGAGGAAAAAGGGCTTTAATGTTTGCCATCGATAGTAATAAACTCGACACGGTACAAACATTAAACGCTAATTGAAGTATTTCGCTCTATGTGTGCTCGATTGTGTATGCATGGGGGAAGCGAAATCTATAATCCCTTTCGAAAAGATTAAAAATATTAAAAGCGCGATCGATGATAACGGAGCATGTCGAGTGTACGACTCTCTCCCTTTTTACTAGTACACTATGTTGTTTCAGTTTTTTTGTTAATTTTCGGTAAATATATTTTATTTGTATGTAATAAATACCTGTTTTGAAAAGACGGCGATGTCTTCGTTGAAGGACTCCGATGAGCAGACGTCGCCCCCTGCCACCCCTGGTTCCCGGGGCGTGCACGTCGCCAGCTCGCATTTTTCAAAAATTAATGCCAATAGCGGGAAAAGCGGATGTCTGAAAAAATAAATGTGAACACAAAATTAGTAAAACGTCATCGAAAGATGGGATGAACCCGGTTGTCATCACCAGTCGAAAAGCAATATTCGTTTTCTTCCGCGACAGAACACTCGATATCGTTTTTCATCTTCTTTAGAATTCAAAAGTTGAAACTCTTGAGAATACGTTTTTCCCATTCAAATTACGGAGATGCTTCTTCAGAATACAGAAAATCCGTGCAAACTTGAAGCAATTGTTCGTCGTCCGTTCACTTAAATTACTCTATTTACTTCTTCGGCGAGTAAACTATAAGTCAAAAGTAATATTAACGGATTTAATTGCAAATGGTTTGTATTCAATTGTTGAAGATGAAGAATAGTTTCGGCTTATATTATATGTATCATAGTATATATAAATATGTGGTGTGTATCAGTGAGAGATAAGCTGTCACTATGAATGAGTGCAAGGCGCGCATTCATAAATGTTGCGATTTATTTATGGCGTGCCATCTCTGTAATTTACGGGTCAGAGGTCGGAGATACCGCGGCCATAACACACACTTCAATCCCATATACACGCAGACACACTTACATACATACATACATATACCCACACACTTATCAAGAGTCGCGCACGTCCCGTCGTCCGTTGTAGGAGCAGAGAACCATAGAAAAGGGAGCCAGAGCCACAACCACAAAAGGAATTTCCATTTTTATTGCGCCTTTTCCGTCTTCTTCCTTCCCGGCGAAATCTCGCCAAAGACCCAGGAGTTGGCCTTAGCAGGCGCAGCGAGCAGGCGAAGGCTCGCTGCAATAATAATAAGGAGGATATGTTAATAATGCACAATCCTCCTCCTCCTGTTGTTGTTCTTCTCCTCATTCCACGCCATGTTCGCCGTCTCTCGGCTCTCGTCCCCGTTGTTTCTGAACTGTTCAACATGCCTTCAAGTACGATAATTTTCCAGAGGCATCAAGTATTCTCCGCGCAAACGGAATTTGTTCCGAGCCGCGGCCGTCATGCCTTCGCACATAAATTTCTGAATCGAAACAATACCAAACCAAGTACGGATTCCCTAATTCCGAAACAGCATTTTAATAAAACAACGACGTCGGAGAGGATGCTGAGGCGAAGAACGAAACGCGAACTTCAATCGCAGTAATTCCATTTACATTTTGCATTAAGCAACGTTTCAGTAAATTCAGGATTTTTTTTGTTGCACGACCACAACCTATTAAAGATGTGCAATAAATTATCACCAATTATTCATGCATTTGCAAATAACGTGTGTACAGGTCTTGGCTTAGTTAATACTGAAGAATAATAACGAAAACAAAAAAGTAATGAATCATTGGTGTTGAATGGTGAGAGGAGCTTTGCTAAGTAACAAGTATATGCTGTTCTTTCAATCACAATGACAGTCAATATTCACCGGAGAAGCTATTCGTGTTTGCCTTTGCTTTGAATTTCTCTATTAACAATTGCGCATACAATTAAAGCGAGGCTAATATATTCGCAATCTTCTTTTTTAAGTAATTATTATTGCGTGGTTATTATTTCGACATTAACACGTTTTGAAGGGTTTACGTAAATCTCTGCTAAGGTCGGTGAGCGGATCGTGGGAGGATCTTAATGGCCGGAAATATACCGGATTATCAATGGAGAATTAGAGTCGAATTACTATCTAGTTTTCTTAATTGAATTTGCCGTGCGATGAATGACAATCACTGGAGGTACCCGAATAGTCGAATTGGTATTCTCGGAGCGGTCTGCCGTTGGAAACAAGCGAATAATTAGTCGAAGAAACGAAGAGGGTTCCCGTCGGACCACCTCACTCCATCCATCCTTTCCAACGTGGCTCGCTCAATTATTTACTTTTGCCTGTTTAAGTTTGCCTACTGAAGGTGTCCGTTAATTACTTAGCACATACGTGCTGTATCAATAATACACAGACACACACACACATACATACAAGGCATGTGTATACATGCACACATACCATACATACACACGAACTGGGCACGCGCCCATTCTCGCCGCCCGTAATGATCTCTGAATGATTTATTGGGGGGACTTGGGTCCCCGAAATGCGCCGCCCCCGACGACTTCCGATAGCCATCGATTTTAACGGAAACTTTATTGATTTCCTCCGCTCGGTGCACACACACACACACACCATAAAATTTAATTATACACCACACGGCTCACTCCACTCCAAGATTCAATTTATGATATTACCAGAAGAAGACAAAAAAAAACATCGTATTAGACTTGACTTCTGTCAAGGAAATATTATAGAGCCATATTTTTTTTTTCAATATTTAATAAGCGGAAACGTAAAATTTAATTCCAACATAAATTAAATACTATTAAAATCCTACAATTTGTCTAATTCAATGCACGCAGATTTTACTGAATTCGTTTGTTGATAGAAATTCACAAAAAAAAAAACGTCGATTCAACTTCATTACCTGATATATGCGAACCGTTACAGCCATATTGTATTATCGAGATTATAGAATGAAGATTAGGGAGGGAAGTAACGTTTGGAATCTTGTTAAGCGTAAAGCTCCGTCTTCGGATTTAAGCCTGAATTCTATTTGGAACTTTTGGAGGGAATCCCAGATTTGTTGACAAATCCTTATGCGGACAAAACGGATGCTTCAATTTAGACCCAAACAATTGCTGCACTTTTTACAAGTTCCAATTGCCTTTTCAAATTTCGTTTGTGAAAATTACTGCATTTTTTTTTAAAGACTAAAGTTTTGATTTACCGATTGACTTTAAAATAATCCTAGGGAAACTTCTATGGTTTCTGGTGTTTAAATGAAGTGGAAGGTATTTAAAGGATATAGGTATTAGATTTTATTTGTATGTGTGAATGTAGATTCTTAATTGGTGTACAGAAATGCGAAAGGTTTAAACGAAATTATAGGATTGTTTTTCCCCGCTAAATTTAATTCTCGGCAGGGATTTTGTTTTGCGTGCAGTCTGTGTGTGTGTGTGTGTGCGGTGGGTTTATTTTGGCGAGCGAATGATTAATTGGCATAAACATTGTGTGTGGATGTACGGAGAGGAAAAAGGCACAGACCGGAGAACCGAGTGCGGTCTTCTGGTAGTGGACGATTTGGATTCAGTTGGATATAGGTTTTTGGTCGGCTTACCCGTAGATTGCGTCTTTGTCCCTTTTCCCGACGTCGGGAACGGCGCCGCCCATGACATGGTTGGCCGCTGGGGCGACGTGGTTCGCATGGTATGGATGCATGGCATGGTTTAGGTGCGGCGAATGGTGTATGGAGGGTCGGTGCGCCACGTGGGGCTCGTAGAGGCCCCCGCCGGACGCACCGCCATCGATATATCCGGGGTGGATGCCGTCGTCATACTAAAATTTAAAAAAAAAACAACATGATAGAAACAATAGAAACTACAAATTGAGACAGATTTATATAAATTGAGTCAGAAATATAAAAAAAAACCACCATCGCTATCTTTCAATTTCCATTTTTCCCAAACTCGATATTATTTTCAAAACACTTAAAATCTCCCCAAAGACCAGAAAACTTCGCGCCGCTGTGTGCATGTATATATATGTTTTTTAATATAAGTAACTCAGCGTTTTCGGGGGAGAGCGAAAACTCCGAAAACTGTTTAGTTTCCTCCGAGGCTCATGAAAAATTCACGAGCCTCAAAGCCCATGAGTTCAAGGGGGAAAAATTAATAAAGCATTTTCACCTTGCCACCCCACGAACAAAAAAAAAATGTATATATATATAAAAAAAGAGGATAAAGTGAAAATAATAACGCGGGCACGCAGAAAAATAATAAAGAAACAATTTTTCACTATTAACAAAAAAAAACATAATAGCAGCGAATAAAATAAAACATTTAAACGAAAGCAATTACTTGCAATTATAAATGTTGCACTTTGCTTCGGAATCAACAACAATAATGAACGAAACACAATAAGTGCTATCTCTGATAAAAACAAAAACAACAACAACAATACAAATTTGTACAGAGTTCCCGGTAAATTTTAATTGGGTCTAGTAACAATGTTTATACGGAATTTCACACTTGTTTTTACCACTACGGGTTTATTTTTGTTTCATTCGTAGTATAGAAATTCGATAAACTCTCTTAATTACTTTACTTTGCTCATCGTAATTAACAGCAATTAGGTTGTTTATTTGCATGGATATTATGTTAAAAAAAGTATTTTTCGCTGTCGCTCGTTGAAAAAAAAACATTGTTTGCATTTATCGTGGCTCGTTAAAACGGTGCAACAATTGAAACCAGGCGTAGATATAGACTAGTGATCCACCAATTACACCTAATAAATGGAGCAAGAAAATAATTGTAATAAAGTGCAATAAGGTCGCATCAAATTAACACAGCAGACATAAACGCACAATCTTATCGGAAAATAATTACAAAAATGGTTACACAATTTAATTAATATATAGAATATTCTCTTAGAAACAAAAAGTATGTACTAACATTTGTATCCTTACAAAATAATGTTTAAATTATTAAACTTCTTTTTATTTACATTCAAAATTACAAATTCCCGTTTTTTATTTATTTATATATAATTCAAATGGAAATGGCGAGCGTTGAAAAACAAAAAAAAAGTGCTTTTGAAAGAATCAATTAAAAATAAACGTTCAATAATCAATTAAAAGTGTTTTAATTTAAATCGCAATTAAAATTACAAAAACAATTTTATTTTAAAATCCAATTTACTGTTGTTGCCGCTTGCACGTTCCAATTCTACATTTATTTATTTATTTTTTGTACAAATTATTTTCACTATATTTTATTTCACATTTTGCACTTATTTTGAATTGTTTATTTATTTTATTTTTTTGGGAAGGGGCGCGCTCGTTCGTTTTTAATTAAAAATAAATATAGTTTACATTAAATATATTTCAATTCCCATATTTTCAGTCAATCAAATTGGAAGTTTTCAATTTTATTTTATATAATCCATATTCTGTTCGCATTTTATGCTTAAACAATGTTAACAATATTTGTTTATTTCTAAATTTGTTATTTGTTAGTTAAATTACGAACTTTAATACTAGCATAAGAACTACATACATCTTCGACCGTCGGAAAATATTTAAGTATAAATAATTTATATTGATAAGTAAATTACTAGTACTTTTTTTTCTCAATTTGCAAAATAATTATAGACATTTAATAGGAAATTGCAAATAAATATGAATCTAATTTATATATTCTGTAAGATGAGATACATTTGTTGGCATCTAGTTTAGAAGCTACATTAATCTTGTGAGAATATCTTTCTACTTTTTCATGGTTCATTAACAACATGAAAAATTGGAATGCAAATTGCAACAAAAAAAAACTAGAAACTTTAACATTTTTTTTCTAAATTTTTAAGTTTTTATCAGCAAAATAAAAATTGTATAGCACCGACGCTTTTCAATTATACGAGATATCACAGTATCTATATATAATCCGAGAAGTCCGTGGATGCGTGTAATAAATTAATCCTAATAATAATTTGTTAATAATCTCTTAATGATTTGCCTCGCGTCAATTTAAATTTAAATGAAGTTCAATTGCCCATAAAATTGATATTAAAACGGGGAAATTGATAAAAGATGGAACGCATAAAATTGCCGTTTTTTTTTATTGTTTATGCATTCATTTATTATGCTCACTTATGCAATTCGTTTCGTGTTACCAATAAAAGCTCCGTTGCTAACAACAAACACATACACACACTTTCATTATTAATTTACGAAAATTCTGATTTATGTTACAGCTACTTATTTCCATGCGCGATTTCCACCAACACTTTTCTACTATTTACTTCATTTGCCGTAATATTTACGTAATTCGCGATAATAAAATAACGTACAACAAAAGACGCCTTAAATAAATTGAATAATCAAAATTCATTGTCACTTTTATTACCTGCACATAAAACATCCATGATAGATTCGGCTATTTTTATACGTTTTTAATCAGTGAACGAGCACTTAATCCTAAATATATATCTAATTGAAACAACAAAAAAAAACTACAATTTTATATTATTTTTTATCGCTTTTCGTCAAAATGATTTATATTATGAAAGAACATTTGGTTTAAAATATTAAATTGAGCTTATCAAACCGTTTTTTAATAATTTCTTGACAAACATTTCAATTTAATAAAGAGCGTATATATTGTTGATTTATATAACAACAGAACGAAGAGTAAACTTAAAAAAAAAAACTTATATATAAATTCCGCTCAAGAAACTGACTTTAAATTGTTTATTAAAAAGCACTATAAAGTCCAGAAAAACAACAACTCCGATTATTATCTTTAATAGAATCTTAACTTTTTTTCCTTTGGATTTCTGATTATATGAATTATAAGAAGTTTGTGCTTCGGGTATTTTTTGTTTTCCTTCTTCTCTTCGTTCCAACGTCGAAGAAAATAATTGAAAGTCTCTCTCAAGTTCGAACAGTTTCCGGCGGAACGCAACGATTAAACTCGTTTAAAGTCGAAATTAAAACTAAGTTTAAGTATAGAAAACGAGACACAAGCAACTTTCTTTAAATTAACAGCGTTTTAAAACTCGATAATTAATTTAAAATTTAATAATTTCACACAATCACACAACTAATAAAATAGTCGATTTACTCGAAAAAGAAGAAATTGAAAAATGCTTTTCTAGTGTTAACCCGAAAAAAAACAATGAATAAAGTTATTTTTCGTTCTGCTCTCTCACTTTGTTTTAATTTCCCTTTTAATTGATGCGAGTCATGAATAAAATTTTCATAAATTTGAATCGCATTTAAATTCGAAATTAATATAAATTTTGGCCAACGTATTATGAATGCATTGAAAAACAAAAACAAAACAAAGAAAAGACAGGAGGTAACTAAACAAAAAAAAATTAGAATAATGAGAACCTTATCTCTGAAATTAGTTAATGCATTTCGCATTTACATAAACTTGCATCTACTTTCACATTATCGTTTTGTGTCTGCTCAAGACTACTTATTGTTCGAATGAAATAACATGTTTTATAAAATTAATAAATATAAGCGAAGTTATGGTTTTATAACTAAAATTCGTATTGAATTACTAATGTTTAGTAGAAAATGAATGTTTACAGATGCCACGCGATCGAGCAAAACCGCAGAGTATTTTCATGCGATGAGCAACTGTCTCGGTGAATATTTTTTTTTACCTGTCTCCGGGATGGCAGTGCTGAGCAAAGAAACGAGTTTAAATTGAGTTTAGGCGACGGAAAGATCTGGAAATTTGCTTCGTGTTTTTATGCGCTTTTGGTTAAGTAAGCGGAACGCATCATCGCGAAGCCCGACGGAAATGTTTCAACATTCGTGTTGCTTTATTTTGCGATCTCGCCGTTTTCTCACCGGGTTTCCTACACAACCTCTCACAATCTCAATTACAAATCTAAGCAAATGCATTAATGAATACATATACTTAATACATTTATTTCAAGTTTTCATCTATTTCAATAATCTCGGAGACAAATTTTAATTTTATATATTTTTATAAATATTATTTTGGTTAATTAAAAATCTTATAATATTCGTATTTATATTTAATTGCTTCACTTCATTAAATTGTAAGCAGTTTTAAAACGCTGATGTTTGTTCCACTTCTCTTTAAATTCAAGTTTGTTATAATTTTTCTTAAATACTGTAAGTATGAAATATTTTGTATGTGTCTTTAAATTTATTGATACTTTAGAGAAAAAGTATGTTCACTTTATTATTTCATTTATATTTATGAAAAGTTACAGCAGATATTATCGAATATGCTAGTATGTTATAGGTTTTGTAAATAATTGTCGTTTAAATACTAATAAAATATCGAGTCGGAAAAAATGTAAAATTGAAAATTAGAGATACTGGTACCTTGATTGCGTAAACACTCATTATTTTTAAGTAGAACTGGGAAAAATCACTAATTCAAAAATGAAAATGCTGATTGACTTTTTTTCACAACAAACACAAACAACAACACCCATGAGGCGCGAATGGAGCACGGCTATTTGGAATCGGTACACTGTTCCTTCTTTATCTGGTAAAGATTTGCTTTTCTGTTAGAGGAACCGAAGGGGAGAGACACACAAAAGTGTTCGTTTTATTCGGCTCTTAAGGCGATAACCATCTGAAGGGGGCATCAGCTCCGCGCGCCGCATACTGAGAGAGGAGAGCTGATCTTTCGGTGGCGACGGCGGCTCGAACGCTCGCTCCTATCTTCTGCACCGGTGGGATGGACAAGACTCTGCACCAGGGAAAATGCTGGCTCCTGCAGCAGCAGCAGCAACAACCTGCGATCTTTCAGATGATCGTTCCGAATAATCCGGGCCAGACTCTGAAAACGATCTTCGCCGCGTGCATAATAAGTTCAAGACGCGCGCGCTTTCATCGCAATGAAGTTGATGTTGATGATCATCATCATATCGCCACGCGCAATTAATAGTATTTCATGTGCCAATAAAAGCAATTAGGCGGATCGAAGGGGGTGAAATTATTTCCAAGCCGACTCGGTTGAAGAAGTAAAAAACGAATAAATGGAAATAAGTAACGTAGGATTGTGTGTGCATGGGTATTAGCCATAAAAATTTAGTAGTGTATTAAGTTTATTATGAAGTTGATCGCCGGGAGTCGTAAACTTTGTACAAACGTCGTTAAACTTTTTGCTTCCCGGCACGTCGTTCTTCCTCTTTGCATTTTTACCGGATCCACACTGTTCCCTCCAACATTGCCCTCCAGTTTTCTGGATTACCCGATGGCGATGATGCAGATGCGTATGTGAATGTGTGTGTATGTGTGGGGTACCGTAGGGGTTTTACGATGGAACTTGTTGGAATGGCTGTTAAATTTCATGGGACACTAAACAACCGACGCCGCGATAAAATAATAATTTTCGTCCTGACTTTACGGCCGGGAAAAAAAAGAAAAGGAAAAGCGAAGAGCAACAAAACCGAGTGGTAAAAAGAGGTTTTCCCTCCAACGCGAAAAGGCACATATGTACTGTACTATTTCAGCCGGGTGTCCGTCCGTCCGTGTTTCTTGCGAGCTGTGTCGCTACCTGAGCGCTTTTCGAAGTTTTGGGGGGAAATTTGTTGTTTGTCGATGGGTTTTTTTTGAATGTGTTTGGTTTTCTGACTATGTAATTTTTCTTGATTTTGATATTGCTGGATATTTGTAGAGGGTCGTACCCGTGGCTGAGCCATGAAAGCCCTGGCCGCCGCCGCGCTGGGATATTCTGAAGCTTGGGCCACCGTGTCTCCTGTATTTGATCACCACTGCACACTGCACACACTCGCGGGGCCCGGGCCCTGCGATCACTGTCCACTCGCGGATTGTAAAAGGGGCGCTGTCACATCACACGCGTCCCGTCCACGTGCTGCACCTGGGGCTCACCACCGTGGCTTAATACACAGAGTATGCGTGCGGAGGTCCTGCGCGCTCCGCAGTCGTCTGCCAACTGTCAATCACGGCCGTCCGCGGGGGCAGAGTGGGGCTCGGATGAATGATCTGTCAGCGGCGGGGCACGCCCTCCGCCCAATGGCCGCCGGCTGGGAGGGCGCAGGCGCCGCGACTCCCTTTTCGTCGCCCCTTCAACCCGTACCCCACCGCATCAGTCCACATATAACCATAGCATAGATACCTTACCGCGCCGATCCGTGCCGCCCCACCACCGCCTCCGTTCACGACGACGGCAGGACGAATTCGCTCGACGCGCAACCGGCGCGCACTTTTCTCTCTCGGACCGACGCGTTGACAAGTTGTCAGTGCCAATCAACGGGAGCGTCTCCTGCGGCTTCGTCCAGGACGCTCCTCGCGCCTCTTCCGCTTCGTCTCGCCTCTCCTTTCCTTAACTTCGCTTTCCTTCCTTGGGCGCCGGCTATGAAAAATGATCCGGGCCCGAGCGACGCGCCGGATAAATCTTTCAAACACCCCCGACGACGACGACGACTGTGTTCAACCCGGATGACGTGAACAAGTGATACACCTCTGCAACTGACGGCTGAGTGCCAAACATCATATCCACGGCTACCTCTCTTTCAGACGACGACCCTCCCTAAAATTTCCCTGCTCTCAACATCAACAATCATCACCGTCATCATCATCATCATGATCTTCTCATGCTCTCATGATATTGCTGTTGCTGCTGCTGCTCATTCATCCCCTCGACCAAAATTGTTGCAACACCGCAACGACTTTCCGACTATCCCGGTACGACAGCACAATGCGGGCATCAATCAAACCCACACTTTGACACCACCATTGACCTACAAACGTCCAAAACTTCACACTCATTCACCTAAATTTATTTGACTTTGAACTTCGTATTACCTAAAACTTACACCACCGTCACAACTCAAACACATAAAACACACACACAAAAAAATAAATTACATTTTAATGTACCATACTTATTAACATTTATAGTGAACTTATTACTTCTATTATTCTGATGATTGCAAATTCAATTAGTTACTTCAGTATAATTTAATTGCTAACATGCTTGGAACTCATAGACTTCTAAGGATTTCTCTTGTTAACTTGAAAACAGCTAGTTCAAGTTTTGTATTTGACATTACTAAGATTCACATTAGTATCCTCTAACATTAGTTATAAATATCTTAAATGTATTTTATTTAATATCCGACTATTACATGTAAGACGGAAATCTCATTTTATACATCTTTATTTATATTCTTTCCATTTTGAAAAGTTTTAAAAACTATCGTATTTTCTAATTTTTTATTATATAATACTGTAAGTAATTTTATGAAATTTCAAAAAAAAAGAGTTTCTAAATCTTTAGTTTCATTCTTCTTTATTATTTCAATATTTATTCGATTTTTCCTATTAATATTTTTATTTATATTATTATTAAAAAAAATAATTAATTAAACTAAAATTAAAATTATTTTTTTCATTCGATGATCGATCGTTTATTTATAAACGTGTATTTTATGAAAGTTTGTACTTCATTTTGTTTTCCATTAGGAAAATTCAACACTATTTAAATACCTAATAAAACACCACATTTTTTTTGTTAAATTAAATTACGCTCCTTCATTTTGCACTAATAAAATTTATATTTACGAGCAATGTAATGAGATGTGTATAAATCAACGGATGATCGTTTAAAATTGTGAAATGCTTAGGAGAGATTTGACGGAACCTTCAAAGTTCCGTTTAATTTGACGCTTCGGGATATACAATTATTCTATTTAATGCTTACTTTAAATCGCACATAAAATGGTTAACGCAAATGCCAAACTTATAAATATTATTTAGTTTTTGTCCTATGTTCAATAGCCCGTTGTATCAGTTGACTTTTTTTTGAAATTATATATATTTATTTTGTTCTTTTTATTTCTATATATATATTGCTTTTGTACGACTGATGCAATAAACATTATTATTATTATTTAGTTTTTAAATCTTACGAAGAAAAGAACAATTTTTCAATATTTATATTGTTATTTTTTATGCATTATTACAAACTTTGGTATAGTTTAATAGTTGCTATTAAATTTATGTGATTTATCTAATTTAATCTAACGTTACATTGTTTTTGGTTTTGGTTGTAAGAGTTGAAAATCGTCCATTTTAATAGCTGTATCTTGCTTTAATTTGATGTAAAACAAACGAACACGTGAGCAATTAGCAAACATAACGTAACGCTCATTACAACATTAAATATTTATTAAGCAGCATTACGTAATTAAAGGTAACGCCCAATTGAAATTCGTCCGCCTTGCACATTGGGCGTAAAACGTACGCTGCTTACCGTCCATTTAATTTATTTGACGTTTCCAGATTAGGCTGAAATATGCTTTCGGGTCCCTCCCAATTTTGACACTTCAGAATTTAAACGCATTAGAACGTATTTCATAGCACGGCAATAAAATTGAGCAGATCATCGTTGGTCACAGGGTGGAGACATCAATTATATTTGCGTTTAGGTTTAGATTTTGACTTTAAAAAGATGTGAAGCGCTTGGTTAATGATAGTAATCACAATGCCGTTTTTGACACTTCGTACGAATGTAAGGGAGAGAGAAAGAAATAGAAAGCGCACACTCGGATAATTGAGCGAGCTCAGGAAAAGGAAATTACAGGTCGCATTTGTATCTTCTGGCTTTTTTAGTGTTTAGTCTAAAGATGGGTATTAGTTGAAACGGGGGGGGTTTAAAATTACACACGTTTCGTCCCCAAAGTGAAATATGCCCAGGGACCGCCCATCAGATAATTACACTTCAATTTCCAGGATCCGGTATAAATTCTCCGACGAGCAGAAAGATCTAAATCAGTTGACGGGGAGACCACAGTTCTTGTTAAAAGAAAATAAATAATACACACATAAATATGAGGACGGTTTTTCTATTTGTCGTCGTTGTCGTCGTTGTTAGTCGGATCACTATTATCGATCGAAACGTTGGAGAATGCTGCAGAATTTCAACCCCTCGACGGAAATCCGAACCTTTCGCGACGCAAGATAATATTGACAATTGATTTAGCCCGCAACCGTCAAACAAGTTGCGTACATGCGAAATATCCTCTTACGGAACTTCAGAGCAAATTAAACACGACGCTCCAATACAGATTTGACACTGCATTAAATTATATTTGACATTTATGGGTGTTATGTAAATATCTAGTTAACTAATAAAAATCGCGAATTAAGTACACCATTCAGTTAATTACCTAATATCCCTCAAATTCTACTAATCATAATAATTGTATTGGATTCAACTCATTTGCAATATGGTCGTAAAAAAATTACTTAATTCTATAACTAATTCATATTAATAATTGAATTAATTATTGATTATCGTATTTATTTCAGATATTTTTATTGTAAATCAAGTAGTAAATAATGTCTTCTAATATAGTTATGAATTAATCATCAAAATTAGTTTAATTATCATTGATAATATTTGTTTGTTATATTTAAGTGTGTAAATGAGGAAGAAAAAAAGATTTTTTTTTGTTAGTTGAAGAATGCAATGCGGTTGTAGCCATCTGTAATTAGCCTGGTTTGCATATTCCGACTTGGTGTAATTTTAGTGTCGAGGTGAGAGACCATTTGTTTATAAACGAAGCTCAAGTTTCTACAAACTATACACACTTAGCATAGTTATTCCATACGTAAAGTATGAATATTTATGCCTCCTAATTGAATTTATACATATTATTATTTTATTTTTTACTTAATTCGTTTTCCATGCATATGACGTGGCGAACGTTCTTTTTTTTTTATATATATAATTGCAATTTTTACGCAGATAACATCACTTCACCACAATTTACGTGCGCAATATATTTTTTTATTAGAGAATTATAATTCACATTAAATGCTTCTGTTAATTAATTTCGAATGTTGCGGTTAGTGTCTCATTAATTAATTTTCTTTTTCCAGATAACCGATCGTAAATGTAATAATATTATAAATATGACTTC